GATTCCGACTAAGGGCATGTACATTGGTTGCGGGCACAACCCCAGTAGGAGGTGTGCAGGAGGCAGCTGATCAATGTTTCTCTCTCATCAGTGTTTCCAACTCTCTATCCCTCTCCCTTCCTCTGTGAAAAATCAATAAAATATATTAAAAAACAAAACAAAACAAAAAAACAGCACCCTGGAACTTTCTAGCCCATACCCTATTTTCTTCAATCGATGTGTATTTATTTCTTCACTTTCTGTCTGAATTTTAATCTCTAGAGAAAAATACCATTGTCCTTTCTGTTCACTGACATGTTGTTAAAACAGTCTGGTACAGAGTAGGTGATCAATAATATTTGTGGATGGAATAAATGAATAAATAACTTTCATTGACAAAAGTTATAAACAAAAGTTATAAAAAATCCAAAGACTGGGGGAAGGGCAAATGGACAAAGGATCTGAATAGACAATTCACAGAAAATGAAAACACAAATGGTTTGAAAATCAGGCAAGATGTTCAGCATCACTCATAATAATAAAAGAAGTGCAAATTAAAACTTCTATGAGTAACCATCTTTCACCCATCGCATTGGCAAACATCAAAAAGCTTGTCACTTCTCCGCATTAGCAAGCATGTGGAGAAATAGGTCCTCTCCTACAATGTTGGTGAGAGTGAAAATGGTGAAAGGTTTGCCGATGACAATTTAGCAGCATCTAAATTTTATTTTATTTTTTTTAAAGAATCGTTTATTGATTTATTAGAAAGAGAGGAAGGGAGAAGACAGAAACATTGATGTGAGAGTGCAACATCAACAGCTGCCTCCTGCATGCCCCCCACCGGAGATGGAGCCCAAAACCCTGGCATATGCCTTGATCTGAAATCGAACTAACTGAGCCACACTGCAAGGGCTAGCAGCACCGGAATTTTAAAAGTATGCTCTTTGGCTCAGCATTTCCAGGTGTATAAGTGTATCCTGCAGATTTATTTGCTCAAGCATACAAGTATGTGGGTATTCACTGCAGGCTCCATCCCCAGTATGAGGCAAGCAGGAGGCAGCCAATCAATGATTCTCTCTCATCATTGATGTTTCTATCTCTCTCCCCCTCTCCCTTCCTCTCTGAAATCAATAAAAATATATTTAAAAAATAAAATGCTATTACCCACAAGAAATAGTTACATGAAAAAGCAATACACAGAATAGTGTGCATCATATGTAAACATTTGTTTAAAAGAAGGAAAAAAAGGGAATTGCTCTGAAGAAACAAACAAGAAATCAATATGGTGTCTCTGGGAAGGGGCAATGCAGCAGGGGGGGAGTAATCAGGGAAAAGAAGGAGACTTTACCTTTCTTTACAAGCTAGGCACTTTTTTAAAACAATATTTTCATCGATTTCAGAGAGGAAGGGAGAGGGAGAGACAGAAACGTCAGTGATGACAGAGAATCAAAGCAACATTCATCAGCTGCCTCCTACACACCCCACACTGGGGATTGTGTCCACAACCTGGGCATGTGCCCTGACTGGGAATCGAACTGTGACCTCCTGGTTCATAGGCCAACACTCAACCACTGAGCCACACCAACCAGACAACTAGGAACTTTTACTGTTAATTACATTAGCTGCTGTTTTTTAAAAATATATATATTTTATTGATTTTTTACAGAGAGGAAGGGAGAGGGATAGAGAGTTAGAAACATCGATGAGAGAGAAACATCGATCAGCTGCCTCCTGCACACCTCCCACTGGGGATGTGCCCACAACCAAAGTACATGCCCTTGACCGGAATTGAACCTGGGACCTTTCAGTCCCCAGGCCAGCGCTCTATCCACTGAGCCAAACCAGTTAGGGCTAGCTGCTGTTTTTAACTTTTAACAATAGCACATAAGAGAAAAACCCAGAGATATCCTATATAATAAAAGCCTAATATGCAAATTGTCCCCTTGACTGTTCGACCTGGAGTTCAACCATTCACTATGATGTGCACTGACCACCAGGGGGCAGTGTGGAACATGGCGGGGGTCGGTGATGCAGTGCTGGCAGCGGGTGGCAGTGCAGGCGCTGCTGGCCTGGATAGGCCCTGATGAGAGCAGGACTGCAGTGAGATGGTGGAGCAGGTGAGCGGGCAGTGCCAGGCCAAGGCAGGTGCGAGCGGGGCCCGATCACCCCGCTGACTGGCCAGCAGATGGCGACCAGTGGCGGCGGTTGGGGGCCGGGCCATTGCCCAGCTCCCAGGGGCTGAGGGAGCCAGGCAGGGGCCCGATGACTCAGGCAGAGGGGGCCGCGCGGGGGTCCAGGGGCCCAGGTGCTGCCCAGGGCCCAGAGGTCAGCTGGGACCTGCCCTTCCACACCAGATGCTTACGCTTCAATTGCCAGCCAGGCCTAGGGACCACACCCATGCACAAATTTCATGCACCGGGCCTCTAGTAAAAGGATAAGCAGTAAAAAGTTAGTCTCTGCTAAAAAAACCAAATAAACAAAAAAACCCACCCCACAATGATGGGGGTATGTCAAAGGGACACAGGAACTACCTGAAAACTGGAGAGTAATAAAGTAGTACTGGAGTTTAACCTAAAGTATAAAATAAATATCCATGAATAGTCATAATTTAAATAAGTGACTGAATAAATAAACAAACGGAGAAGAGACAGATTTGTCATGCAGAAGAATTCCAAATAATTTATGCAGATACTCTGCTCTCAAGGAGGTGGAGCATAATTTCCCAACTCCTGTAGTATAGGCTGTGCGCAGTGGCTGCCTTCCAAAGAACAGAATATGGAAAGAAGGGGGAAAGAGCAATTTTGCAGTAGAATCTGACAAGCACTGCCTCAGCCAGGTGATTGTGGTCAACATCAACAGTGATAAACCGTCCTGAAGGCACGTGCCCTTGATATGATGTAATGAAAATGGCACTTTACCTTTGCCTCCTCCCCAAACCCATAACTTGTCTAATCCTAAGAAAAACATACAAATCCTAAGTAAAGGACATTTTAGAAAATATTTGACCAGGCAACAGAAAGAGACTTTGCTTGGGGTGGTGGGCACACAATGCCATGCGCAGATGTTTTACTGAGTTGTGCACTTGAAATCTGTATGGTTTTGTGAACCAATGTCACCCCCAATACATTAAATAAAAATATTTGACCAGTACTCAAAACTGGCAAGATAATAAAAAGCAAAGGAAGTCTGGAAAGCTCAGTTAAAAGGAGCCTAAAGAGACATGATGACTAAATGTAATGCGGTGTCCTTGCAGGTCCTGGAACAGACAAAGGACATTAGGTAAAAACTAAGGAAATCAAGATAAAATATGGACTTAAATTAATTACAATGCATCAATACTAACTGTAACATATGCAAGATGTTGATAGAAAAAAACTGAGTGTGAGGCATACAGGAACTCTTATAATATCCTTGTAATTTTTCTGGAAATCTAAAACTGTCCTAAATAATAAAGCTTATTTTTAACTTCCTCCCCAATTGTCTCCTTTCTTCTCCTGACTCTGTAAGTCACTTGACTTCTTTGAATTTCAATTTGCCTATTTTGGAATAGGGGGATTATTTCTAATCTTTCCAACTACAATCAGTAACAACTCTCTAATTTAGTGAATTTCCCCTGGGTACTAAATTCTGTGCTAAGCACCCTTTTCATGCATTATCCCGTGTGACCATCACAATGACCCTGTGGGCTGGGATTGTCATTTTCCCTGTTTGTCCACCATGGAAACAGGCTGCAACTAGACCAGAGTCACAGAGCTGGTTAGTGAAGGCCAAACTCACTCTGGCCTGTCTGGTGTAAAAGAAAGGCTCTAAACCTCTGTTTTTCACTGGCTCGGGCTCCTCCTTTCTTCTTCTATGCCCATACACAGATGCTGCCCACCTCAGAGCCGGTTTTGAAAGATGCCCCACCCCCCAAACTGCTTGTAAGTAAGCATTCTCCCTAATGGAGCTCTCAAGATCTGCCTCTTCGACTTTCTGATGAGGGAGCCATCACCAGTAATGACAGCAATAACCCCATGAACACTCAGTCTGTGCAAGGCACTGTACTGAGAACTTTGTGCCTATAAACTTAGTGAATTCATACAGTAATACTAGGAGAAACCATTAACACTCCATCTTCATACATTTTGGAGGGAATGCAGCCACTTCGGAAATTAGTTTGGCAGCTCCTTAAAATGTTAAACATATGTCCCAGTAATTCCATCCCAAGGTACATACCTAAGAGAATTAAGAACATGCATTCGTACAAACACTTATAGTCACAGTAGCATTATCCTTAATAGTTGAAACAACCCAGTGCCCATCAACTGAAGAATGGATAAACACAATGTGGTCTTGTCCATACAATGGAATATTTAGCAATAAAAAGAAATTAAGTACCACCCAAGCCGGTGCTGCTAAGTGGTTAGAGCATTGGCCCTCACACGAAGGGTTGTGGGCTCGATTCCTGATCAAGGGCATGTACCTGAGTTGTAGGTTCAATCCCCAGCCCCGGTCAGGGAGACTGCCGGAGGCAACCTATGTGTCTCTCACATCAATGTTTCTCTTTCTCACCCTCCCTCCCTCCCACTCTCTCTAAAAACCAATGGAAAAATATCCTCAGGTGAGAATTAACAAACAAAAATAAAACAAAACAAATAAACAGAAAAAATTAAGTACTGATACAAGCTACAACATGGATGAACCCTGAAACAAAGCTAAGTGAAAGAAGCCAGTCAGAAAAGATTGGGTGAATTGTATGGCCTATGAATGAATGATCTCAATAAAGCTGTTTTTTTTTTTTGTTTTTTTTTAAAATATATTTTATTGATCTTTTACAGAGAGGAAGGGAGAGAGATAGAGAGTTAGAAACATCGATGAGAGAGAAACATCGATCAGCTGCCTCCTGCACATCTCCTACTGGGGATGTGCCCGCAACCCAGGTACATGCCCTTGACCGGAATCGAACCTGGGACCTCTCAGTCCGCAGGCCGACGCTCTATCCACTGAGCCAAACCGGTTTCGGCATCAATAAAGCTGTTTTTTAAAAACCCATTTTACAAATAAACCACGGCACAGAAATAAGCACATTGCTTAAGGGTACATAGCTACTTTGCTGAGCTCATTGAAAGAAACGCACTTCCAAATAGCAGCCTCTCAATGGTGAATGATTTGGGTTTGGTTTTGCTTCCCCCAGGATGGAAGTCATTTCCAGACTTTTCTTTGACCTCTGCCTGCATTAGGATCAGAACGCGTGGAGATGAACCAGTGGAACATAGTGGCTGCAAGGACAGGCCCTAAGAAGGCAACCCTTCGGATTTTTTCCTTCTCCCTCTCTCCCTTTTTCTTCTCACAGTATGTCTTTGTTGCTCTTCTCATAGTAGCTTTTAGGCTCCAGGAAAGCTGGAATTTTGTTTTGTTTACCTCTGTATCCCCAGCCACTAGTTCAGGTCCTGGTTTGATGAAGTGAACAATGGTTGAAATAATTAAGGGCAGTTCAGTGAATCGGGTGAGTTAACAGGGAGGTTTCCGACTTGGGTGCTGGTAACATTTTCAGAGATGGAAGTGGGGAGCACAGTTCCAGGTCTAAGGGATATCTGAGGTCCATGGGGAGACCCAGGAGAGGGTGGGTACACACAGGCAGATGTTTCACTGAGAGTGCGTATAGGGACCAGGGTAGCACCCTGAATAGTGACAATGGCCCATTCGTAAACAATGGAGTGGATGGGACAGTGGCCATCTGGAGAGATCGTGCCCCACCTCAAGGGACAGTCATAGGGGAAGCAGGCAAGCTTTTTCAGAAACGGAAAACAAGGGTTGCCATGTGAAACCTTGTCTGAAGGCCAAGTTTCTCCTGGTCACCTGTTTCTGATTTCTGTTGCAACAATCTAGGCTTGAGTCTACCCTAGAAGTCTAGGGTATGTGTAGTGGGTCAGAGATGTTGGATAGAAGCATCTTTTCTACGGAGATGGGTTCACCTGGAGCAAGCCCATTCTGGGTGGCTTGAATGGGAGCCAGCCTCTCAGCTTAGTCACTTGTTTTTAATGATTACATCAAAGAATAATGTTAAGAGTAAACAGGTAGTTACAAAATAGTACCTTTGACAGGATTCCATTTTAAGCATATATTAGAGAGAACTGGAGGAATATACCCAACTATCAGCAGCGGCATCTCTGAGGGGTGGGACTATGAGGCACTCTCCCTTGGTACTATGTATTTCTGGGTTTGAATTAATAATGATCATGTCTAAAATTTTTTTTAAAACATAGGTATTTTCTGACATAACCACATATGCACATATATGTGCAGGTAAACTCATAGTAAAGGTGCCTAAAGAACATATACCAAATGGTTGACAGTGGTTACTGCTGGATGTGTGGGGCTTGTGTGGGTTGGCAGATGAATAGGAAATTGTTTTGTCTCTTTCTTAGTGTTTGAATCTTATTTAACATGTACTCCTGGGTTGTAAAAACAAAGTGAAAAACTCCAGTGCCCAACACCCCAATCCATCCATCCATCCAGAAGTAGAACTCTCCCAGATGGGAGGGAGGGGAAAACCTTTGTCAGGACACAGACAGTATTATCTTCACAACCATCCCCCACCCTGACTCCAGGATCCAGCCCAATCCCCAACCCCAGGTGACACACACCGAAAGAGGAGCCAAGGGGCCTCATTGTAACACTCATTTTTATATAAATATCCGCAAGTCATGTTACAGAATAAGCCCCACCTGGGAAAAAAGTCAACATTATGTTTTTGTTAAACTGACCCCCACCCCGCCTTCTAGGCTGGGCCCCAGCCTGGGGGCACCTGCTGCTTTGGGAAGGCTGAGGCTGCTGCCCAGAGGCTGCTAAGGAAGCTGCCTGTGTGGCCCACCCCAAGCTGACCCCCTTCTTTGGTGTGTGGTACATGGTGACCTTCTCTGGCCCTCCGTAGCCTGGGACAGGGCTCTGGGAACAGGGCTCTAGAGAGCAGGGCCCAGGAGTCCTGGGGGCACTTGGAAATGGAGTGGGGGGACTGAGCCACTAAGAAAGAAGTAGACTCTGAAGCTTAAAGGTTGAGCCTTTTGGGGCTGGGGCACACAGAGGTAACAGGAACACGTGGGGGGAACCTGGGCTGTCAGCCAAGCAGGAAGCATTTGCACTTCTTTCCAGCCTAGGTACCAGGTTCCTTCCCCTGTTGGTCCATTTCCTGCTGGATCCCATATTCCTAGGGATAAACCCTGGGCCTGCCTGTCCCCTCCCAGCTCTTCCCCCTGCAATCTCCCCTCCCCCCACAGAGAGGCCAGAGGCTAGGAACACAGCACCAGTCTGAGGATTTAATTAACCAGGAAGGGGGGTTATTGGGAGGGGCACCCCTGTAAAAATGTACAAAAGGTCTGGGGGGCTATGTGGAAGGGGAGATAAATATGTACATGGAACTCCCCTTCCTTTAGCCCCTCCTCCCCCAACCCTGAGAGGGCATGAGGACTTGGGTGGTAGGTGAAGGGGAGGGGGGCACTTTGGCCTCTGGCTTAGTGAGCCCTTGGGGAGGCAGGCCAAGGGCCTAGGGGCCCTCAGGGGGCGATGGTGCACCTCAGGAGATCTATGAGCTATGACCTCTGAAATGACCCCCACTCTCATGTATGTGTACACACACATACACACACACACACACACACACACACACACACACACACACACACACACTCTTCTCTCTAGAAGTGTGTGACCTCTGCCCTCCCAATGACCCCAAGGTTCATCTGATGCTTGATCTCATGGGGGTTGGGGCTCTGTTCTCATGTTCCATGACCTCAAAGATGGCTGGTGAGGTCGCAACCTTTGCCCTCCAGGCCTGGCTTAAAACCTCAGTTCTAGGATCTTATCAAAAGGAAAGGGGGATGGAGCTTTGCCCCTGCCCCTCCCCTCCCCTCACCTGTCAGCCCGGGCTGGGCCAGGGGCCCTAGGTGGGGAACTAGGCCGGGGGGCGGGCACAAGTGGAGGCGGTGCCCCCAAAAGGGCTCCTGGTGGGGTCTTGCTGAGAAGGTGAGGGGTTCCTGGGGCCGCAGTAGGCGGTGGTGGAGGAGCCAAGCGGCTGTATAGCAGGGGATGGGCAGGCTCTAGACCATACAGACGGGCAGCAGTCACTGCCCCTGGTCCAGTCAGCTCCTCTCCTGCCTCATAGAAGCGGGGTGGCCTTGCAAGGCGAGGGGGCCCTGCCAACCAGGCTGGCTCCAGAAAGCCAGCACAGCGCTCTGCAGGACCAGGGCCCAGAAATGGGGGTGGCCGGGGCCTCTCAAACAGCAGGTGAAGGCCCTGAGGCCCAGTGGCAGCAGCAGCAGCGGCGGCAGCAGCCTCCTCTTTCCGTTCTTCCTTTACCCGCACCGATTCCTTGGCTGGCCTGGCCCCTTCCTCACCAGCCCGGGCCTTGGGAGTAGCAGGAGATACTCGGGGCTGGGGCCGTGAGAAGGGGAGGTCCCTGGGGGCAGGTGTGGGGGGAGAGAATAAAGGTACTCCAGAGGTCAGAGGTCAGATGCAGGCTGAGGGGGGTGGGGGGGGGGGCGGGCAGTTTGCGGAAAGCATACCTGTCTTTCTCCTCCTTGGTGATAGAAGTCTCCCTCCGCTCCACAGGCCGCTCCTTGTCTGAGCCTGGTGTCCGGGCGGCCTCAGGGGGCCGGACCCAGGCAGGAAAGGCCAGAGGACTGCGGTGCAGGCGACCCCATGGGTCTGGCGGGGAGACGAAGGCTGGTGGGGCCCCTGGGCTTTCTTTCTGGGCAAAGACGGCGCCGGAGTCTAGACAGAGGGCAAAGTAGAGAGTGACAGGAGCCAGGAGCGGGAGGCCCCAGTCAGGCACCCCGCCCCCCTCCTGCGTGAGCACATTAACCCACTGCCACAGCCTCCTACCCACCCTACCCAGGACTCACTGAATGTGGGGCTGCCCAGGCCTCCAAAGGCCCCGTTGGAGAGGGCAGCCAAGGAGGCGAAGCTTGTGGGACGCCCAAAGGGATCTGCAGGAGAAAAGGACGGTCAGAGCATTGGGCCGCCCACTCTGAGAAGCCACCAAGAACTGACAGGGAAGAGGCAGAGCAGCAAGCAGGCCCCGAAGCCCTCGGCTGCTCGGTCTTAACCTTAACAACCTGGTGCTCGGCGCTTCCTTGGGGCAGGCTAGGCAGTGAGCTCTGACATGCACAGTACTGTTTAACCTCACAAGCCCGATGAGGCAGCTAGGATCATTCCCACTTACAGGTGATGAAACAAGCTCCGAGAGGTGAAGTGACTTGCCAACAGTCAACCCAGGGCCTCTCTGACTCCAGAGGTCAAGCGTTTACCCCGCACACTCCACGCCAGCCACCCATACCAGCTCTACAGCAAGCTGGTTACCTGAAAACCTCTGCCGCTTCCTCCCACCTGACATGCAGAGCCCTTCCCAGCTTGACCCTACTTTCATGCACATGTCCCATCGCCAGTCAGAACAACTAACCTTACCCCTATGGGACCTCACAATTTCCTCTTCCAGGAACACCTTGCCCTATGCCATCAGGCTCAAATCCTCCTTGTCCACCCGAACCCAGGCGAAATCTCCCCCAACAGCCTGCCCAAGATGGCTAGGAACCAGCGGCCATGCTCTCCTGGGGCTGTGCAGCCTTCCCCCACCTTCCTCTCGCAGGTGGCACATACCCTTTACCACTGGCTGTTCTTTCAGAGACTATCTGGGCTGGCAGAGATGAGCAATCACTATGCCCTTTCCTATCCCATTTTACAGGCAATGAAATCAAGGCTCAGAGAGGGTAGAGTAATTTGCCCAAGGTCAAAGAGCAAGTGGAACCAGATCTACCCCCATTTCAGCTGCCTTTCGGGTCTAACTTCCATCCCCAGCTTGAGAATTCCTAGAAGTCACAGATAAGGCCTGAGGTGCCCAACATGCCCTTGGCTCTTACCAATGTGGGTGCTGGGGCTCAGAAAGGGTCCATGGGCCCCGGGAGCTGCCGTGAAGGGGTTGGCTGCAGCGTGGACGGCACCTGGGGCAGAGAGGTGGGAGATTCTGATGAGGCTGAGTGGGCGTAAGGTGGGCCTTGGGTTATATATGGGAACCTTAGGCCCCGAGAGGGCTGGCCAGACTCACCAGTTGCAGTGAAGAGGGAGGCAGCCGGGTGGGAGAGCTCCTGGCCAGTGGGCAGGGCCCCATAGGGCCCCGGAAGGCAGGGCAGGAGGTCGTTCCGAAAGTCAAGCTTGTGGGAGTCGCCCTGCGTGGGACAGGGAGAGGGCAGTGAGGAGCCAGATCTGTCCTCTTGCTCTTCTGCCCCTACACCCCCTCCGAGGGCTGCCTGGCGCCAAGATGGGGACGGAGTGCCTTCTCTGACCACCGTCTAGTTAGCCAGAGAGCCTAGTGCTGATTTGGAATTGCTAAGGCAGTGACCAGAGATGGGATGGGATGTTTCTGGCCAAGATTCTGCCAAGCTCTGCAGAAGGCAGACCCTCAGAGTTCAGGCAGGCCCGCTTTCCCCAGCCCTCCGGCCCCAGTACCTTCATCTTTTCCTGGTGTCTCAGGATCATGTAAGCCACGCGCACGTGCATGGCACACCACTTCCCTGGTTTCTGCCGCCCCAGAAGGATGACCAAAGGGAAAGGGAAGGAAAGAATGTTCACTCGTCACCCACTCCAGGCCTGGCCCTGGGCCCAGACTTGCCACACATCATCTCCTCTTATCATCCCTACAAATGAGGGTGACTAAGTCCATTTCACAGCCTAGGAAACTGAGGCTCAGAGAGATGAACTGTCTTGCCCAACGTCCCATGACCAGTTAGTTACATCTGAACCCAGGTCTCTGGCTTACAGTCCTTTCTCTTTCTGCTGTCCCACATCTGGCTGCCTCCATGTCTTGGATTTCTCACTCATTCTCAAGCATGACCTCCCCACCCCTCAGCCAAACACCCTGACACCAGCCCCAGCCGCATGCAGCCTGAGGTCTTCACCACACTCACCCTCAAAGGTGGCCGGAAATGGTCAGGGATCTGGGGATGGCAAAGCAGATTGGTGGCGATTCAGACCTGTTTACTGACCTGGCATCTCATCTCCGCAGCCCCCAAATCCGCCCCCAAACATCTCCTGGAGACCCTGTGTGGCACCCTTAATCCTTTCCTGCTGGTGCTGGGACTCCTTTCCCTACCTCTCCCACTCTGAGCCTCTCCCCTCCAGCACCAAGGCCCTGAACCAGGCTCCAAGAAGACGCTTTGCTTGGGAGACTGGGAGTGGTTAGTGGGCAGGCAGAATGATTTCTCAGCAGAAGCAGCTGTCCTGTTAGTAGCTTTATGTGTGGGCCTGTTGAAGCTTTCTTTAGAGAAAAGCCTTTATTACTGTGAGAGAGTCTGGAAAACCTCTGGTCTAGTCTGTCCTTTAGGAAATACATCCTGTGTTCTTTCACGGTTCCCAGAGCCCTGGGCCCTAAGTGGGAGGGAAGGCTTGGTCACCTTGTGCCACTTCACAAAGGGACAGCTTATCTTTTCACTGTTTTATAGACAGAACTTCCTGGTATGATGTCATTTTGGGGAGAAAAAGTTTTTTAACTTAAAAAAAATCGAAACCACTGCCCTAATAATCTTATTTTTCGGGCAAGTTCATGAAATTCCCATTCCTCATGCCTGGGAAATCCTGTCATTTACATAAATTCTCTCACATCATATTCTCAGGAACACCCCCAACACGTATCAACAGGAGGGATCAGTCAATGATTCACACTCAGGTCAACCCTGCTCTACTCAACAGACCTTCCAATTCCAGCAGGACCCGCCTTGGCCCCTCACCTGTGTCCCCTTTTGGGGAAGCCCGCTTGGCATTGGCCCCAGTCGTGGTGGCAGCTCGGGGTTCATGCTCTGGGAAAGGGGAGTGGAGAACAGTCAGGAGAGCTGGCACTAGGCAGAAAGGGTCTGTCACCAAGCTGGGGACTGGCACAGGGAGGAACGATGGCTGTAGGGAAACGGGGCCACACGGGGAGGGCAGATGGGCATGGTCTGCAGAAGGGGAAGAAGGTATGTGGACCTGGAGGTGCTGGGTTTTAAGGGGTGGGGGTGGTGAAAGTGTCTAGATTGGGAGCTCACCTTGGGCTGGAAGGCCCCCTGCAGGGAGCCAAAGGAGACAGCCGGCGGGAGGCCCGGAGGGAGGCCGGGCACTGCGGGAGGGAAGGCCGTGTACGGCTGTGGAGAGAATGGGACTAGTCCAAACTGGGAGTGGAGGTGCAGCCCACGTCTGGTCTGCCCATCAGTCCTCTGGCCTCCTCCCTAAAGCCCCCCAGGGAGCTTAAGGCTCTTGCTTTTGAAGCTGAAGATTGGACCCCCAACAGTTAGGGTCACACGCACTAACGCATCTACGCCCACACACCACACACACGCACTCACATTATGCCGGAAAAGGCCTTCCATCTTTCCTGGGTATTTCTCAAACTAGGGAAGAGAAGGGAAGAGTAAGCTGCTAGCCAGAGACCCGGGCCTTCCCCTGAAGCCAGACCCTCCCCCCAAGCCTCTGAGCCTTATCACCGGCCCAATGAGGAGCTCACCATGTGGGGGCCGTGGGGTGGCAGCAGGCCTGGGGGGTAAGGGGTGAAGTGCTGGTGGGTGTGCTGGTGGGTATGCTGGTGCTGGTGGTTGTGCTGGTGGAACTGGAAGGCCAGGGGCCGGGCTGAGCCCCCTGCCCCCACCACCTCAGGGTAGCGAGAGTTCAGGTCCTGGCCGATCAGGTCCTGCTCTGTGGGAGGGGAGGGGGAGAAGGCTTTAACATCTGTCGCCACCTGTCAGCCTCCTTGGGCCCGGGTGACTGGCCTTCCCTCTGGCCTGGAGCCACTCCCTCCTCAAGCCCTGCAGTCTGCTAAGGTCCAAATGCCCCAAAGCTGACTGGGCCCAAGCCCAGGGTCATTGCCCCCCACCCCCCGGCCAGGACCCCAAACTCACCAGAAAGGGCGTTAGCAGCTGAGGCCCCAGGGTGCCCTGGCACCTGCAGCAGGGGTGGGGGTGGGGGCAGGGTGGGGCCAGGGGAGAACAAGGAGGGGTGGTGGGGTGGTGGGGGGGGCCGCAGCCCAGGGGGAGGAAAGCTGTGGTTGGACAAAGGTAGGGGCAGTGAGGGCGTCGGGGGCCGGTGGGTGAGCTGCGCGGACGAGGAGGAGGCAGATGAGGAGGAAGAGGACGAAGAGGATGATGAGGGGGGAGGCTGAGCCACGGGAGGGGCCGGGGCCTTGGGGGGCGGCCGTGAAGAGCTGGGGAGAGAAGTGGGGAAATGAGTGAGGGGTTGGGAGGTGCCAGCTCTGACAGGAGTGGGTCAGAAGCCTGGGCGATACCTTGACCCTGGTTCTCCAACATGGAAGGTGGTAGAACCCGGCCCCCAGGATGTCCACCCCCGCCAAGGAACCCATCCTCAGACTGAGGTGCCTCCCACAACCGACAGCCCCCTCTCCCCTCTCTAGGGCTCATCTTCCACACAGCTGCCTCTAATGTCTTTGGCCACACGACCTTCCCTTTTCTGATTCAACCACAGCACAAAACATATCATTCATTTTGACGCTTAATTACAACAGGCCACCTGGGTCCCTACCCTCCTAAGACAGTGGGAGCAGCACCCTGCTGGCCTGACCTAGGAGTTCTAGGTCCAGCTTGCCATGAACATCCTGGGTGACCTTGAGCAAGTCACTGCCCCTCTCTGAGCCTTAGTTTTCTCAATAAGAAAAGAAATAACATTGATGACAATAACAGAGATAGCATGAATAATAATAGTATCAATAACTCTTACCCTTCAGTGAGCACTTACTGTAGGCCAAGTGCCGTCACTTGTTTTATACGCTAATCCAAGTCTCCAAATTTCATACCACCTTCCCAATCGCTGCCGCATCCATGTAACCACCTGTACCTTTTACCTCTTTAACGTAACTCAGTTTTTCTTTTTAACATAGCTTCACCCAAGCCACAATGTGTGAAATCAAGGAGATACTAGTCATATTTTTCTAAAGCACATACAAACTGAAAAAAATGTGCTCACATGACATCTGAAATTATCTCACACATCACTAATGATGAGTGTACACACTTTGGGAAACACTGCATTAACTCACAATTCTCACAACAGCTTTATGATGAAGGTACTATTATTATTTCATTTTACAGAAAGGGGAAATTGAGGCTCAGAAAGGTTAAGTGACTTCTCGAACATCACACAGCCAGGAAGTGGCAGAGCAAGAATTTGAATTCAGGTCCGACTGACACCAACGCCAGCCCTCTTAATCATCATGACAGCATTTCCCAAAGTATGTCCTAAGAACACTATTTCCAGCGGAGGTGCCTTGCAAAGAGGTCTCACCAGCACACAGACTGAGCAACGGCACAAACTGGATCCCCTGCATGTGAATGCGTAACGCGTTCTGATGAGTTCTGTGGTCATCTCTTCAAGTTTGTGTCACCCGGTGTCTTTCAAACTTTTCAGTCTCAGAATCCTTTTTCAAATCATATTCCCAAGGTACTCTCCCATGTCCCAGCCACAGAACGCAGGGGTTCCTGCCAGAAGGACCAGGCCTTTCCAGACCAGACCAAACCCCTACCCACTCACCTGCCAGTGCTGAGGTCCAGGCTGCTGCTGCCATAGGGAGAAGTGCGGATGCCAAAGGGCGAGACCCGAAGCTGCAGCTGGGGTGGGGGTGGCAGACTGGGGGTGGCCGGCAGGGGTGCAGGGGGTGAGACAGGAGGCCGAGGGGCTGGTGGAGGTGGTGGTTCCTTCGGGGGAAAAGGCACTAGCAGCGGATCGGGCCCTGGGGGCTGCTCCTGGCTCCGCTCCAGGCCCGACACTTTAGGGACTATGGAGAGCTTTGCTTCACAGTTCCCATTGAAGGCGCCATGAGGGCCCGAGGCTGCGAGGGCAGGACAGCGAACATTCGATTAAGACCCGCACTTACCCTAAGTCCCCCTTGTCTCCAGCCCCAGCCCTTGGAACCAACCTTTGCTGGTTGAAACAGTAAAGGATGGGTCGAGGTCATCGTCGGAGACCTGGGGAAGAAGGGGAGGGACACGGTCAGGTTCTGGTTAGGCCAAGCCCTTACCCAGGAAGGCCAACAACTTCTGAGCCTACTAGGCACTGGCAGTGGTGGTGAGTCTATTCCATCACCTCAGCTGAAATCCATCGGAGACTATACTCTAGGGCAGCGGTCGCCAACCGTTCGGACCTCACGGGCCACCAGTGGTCCGCAGACCACCTGTCGGCGACCGCTGCCCTAGGGGGCCTATGCCTGAGGAAAAAGGGTGGAGCAGCTGAGCCTAAGAGTCTGATAGACCAGGAGGCCTAAATGGCGGCAGCACTAAAAAAGCAAAGAAGCAAGGAAATAAAAACAAAAAGGTATCACTAACTGCTGGCCAATAGGCCTACCTGGTTTCTGTCTGGTTCATAAGTTTTAGCAAAAATTACAAACTCATTGCCGGTATTTAGAAATCCAGATTCCTCATAAAAATTCAGACTTGCAGCTTCTCTTGAGAATGGGCCCCTGGTCTCACATGGCAACAGTGAGCTAGTGTTAGATAGTGGCCCCCCCTTTAAATGGATGAGAACGCTCTGGCTCATCACAGTCCCTGTCCAGCCAACTTTAAAAATTAAAACAAGACACGTCAGGGAGTACAAATTTAGTTAGTTATAGGGGTAGAGTCCCAACTGCTAGGATCCACTATTTCAAAATAAGCAGATCAGCCTTATTAATAAACTGAAAAACACCTTTATAGTGCGAGTCCCTACACTGACTACAGTGGTTTAGTAGCCTCAATGCCATGGCCACAGTCTCTGCTGAGACTCTCGTCTATTAAAGACTAATGGCCAGGAGGAAGGACCAGCCTGTTCCGGAGCCACGCTGAATGTCGGTGGAGAACCACGGGTCTCTCTACGGGCTTCAGAAATGATGGCGCGAGGCAGGGGCCTTCTACTCTCTGGTCACCTGGCTCTAGTCACCAAGGAAAAGAAGCCATTGACTCTCTCAACCCCAAAATCTAATCCTGGCTCAACTGCCTCGTCCTTCCCACTCAAGGGGAGGCTGTCTGCTGCACACAGCCCGCTAAGCTGCAGTTGGTTTCACAGGCCGCACCACTGCCCACCCGACCCGTTCTAGCCCCACTCACCCTCTCGTCCAGATCGCTTTCGGCATCACACTGGGGAGAGAGACAGGAGTCACAGAGGGAAGAGGAGTGGGGCTTTCAGAGAGTCCGGGGCGGGCGGTACGGGCGGAGGCACTTACTATGTATCCGGCTTCCAGAGAGTGACGGGAGGAGACCTGAGGAAGACCAGAGTCCAGAGGTGAGGGGGCTGCCGGGAGGCCTTTGGAGCAGGTCTGAACTCCCAGCGGGGCACTCAGGCCCCTCCTCACCTACTCTCCATTTCCTTTCGGCGGCTCCTGCCCACCCGTTCCCCACGCTCCGGCCACTGTCCAAACATACCAGGCTCTCCTATCTGTGCTTCTGTCCAAAACAACTCTGCCGGTTTCTCCTCTGAGCTAAACTTATGACTGTTCTTCACGGCCTGACTAAGATGTCCTGGGGGCTTTCCCCAACCACAGCCTCTCCCGGCCCCGGGCAGATCGAGCGGCTTCCTCCGCGGCTCCTCTGGGTTCGGTATAGGTGTCTGCCTGCAGGTGGTTTCTTTCCCACTAGCCTGCCACCCCCTCGAGGCGGCAGAGACAGATCTCATTCATTTATGACCCAACCGGGTCCTGTGCTGAGGCCGACCTGGTGCCGCCAGCAGCAGGCAGGCCTGGGGCAGGGCCTTGTGGACCCGGAGGGAGAAGGGCTCCCGTGGCTCTGCCTTCATCTGTGTCCGGGAGATGCCGCCGCTGTTTACGGGGCAGTGGCGTGGTCACTGGAAAACGGGCCTAGGGAAGGGTGTTCCGCCCAGAGTCTTAAAGCGCAGGGGCCCAGGAGGACAAACTCACCTCTTTCCTTCTCCGCTTATTGGGCCATTTTCGGGCGCGATCCCCGGAGGGCCGGCCGGGCTCCCGATCGGAGCTGTCCCCTGGCTCCCCGGCGGCCCCGCTGGAGCCGCCCCGCTTCCGCTTCCCCGAGTGCTTCAGCCGGTGCTCCAGGCGCTCGGGGGGCTGGAGAGAGGCATCCTTCTGCGGAGGAGGAAGTGGGGCTCCAGTCGACGGAGAAAGGAAGGCTCCGGCCGTCCGGGGGCGACCAGGCTCCCCCAGCGGCTCCGGGCTCAGCGGCCGCCAGCTTCCGGACCCCACGGACCACCGCCGGTCCCTGGAGACCGGCCCGACCGCCTCCCACCCCAGGGCGGGGCAGAGGCCTGGCCAGAGGAGCCGGTTGCTCTGGTTCGGGGTGCCAACCTTCCCCCTCAACTCCACCCACCCGGGCACCGTACCCTCCCCGCGGCCCCTGGGAAGCCCCCGAGGACCCGGCCCTCAGGCCCCACCTGCAAGGCCTCGAGGCTGGCGAAGCTGGCGATGGCGAAGCCATCGATCAAGTCCTCCTCCTCTTCCTCCTCCTCCTCCGGCTCTTCCTCGGCCTCCCCGTCGTCCGCACACCCCCCCTCCTCTTCCTCCTCTTCCCCGCGACTGCCGGAGCCCGCAGGCCGCTTCCGAGCTCGGGGTCGCGGCGGCCGAGGCCTGGGACGGGGCCGCCGCCGTCTCGGGCCTCCGGGCCGCTCTCCAGACGAAGCTGACGACCAGGGCCTGGCGGGCGGCGGCGGCGATGACGAGGACGAGGAGCCGCGCGGGGCAGCCAACAGGGCCCGGGGCGCGTCGCCGCCAGGACCTCGGCGGCGCCGCTGCTGCTCCCGGTCTCGGTCTCGGCGCGAGCAGCGCCGCCGCCGCCGCTCTCCCTCAGCGGCCCAGCCCGGGCCCGGAGCCGCGGCCGTCTCCATGGCGACCGCCCTCAGTGCCGCATCCGGAGGCGGCCGGGCCCGAAGCGGCCTGTCCGCAGGCCCAGGGTCGCAGGCGCGGCGTTGGCGGCTGCACAGGGACGAGAGGGCCACGGCTTCCTTTTTAAAGCAGGATCTGCTGGCCCTGAGCTTGCCCCAAGGCCAAGGCCTGGGGAGCCGGCGCCGCCCCCGGGGCGACAAGCCCGAGGGTCCCCACCCCCCAAGTGGGGCCGGTAGGGCCAAGACGGCGAAAACGGGGCGGCCGTCCCTTTAAGGCGAAATCTCAAGTTGTCCAGCCCCTAGCTCCTTTAAGACGACCAGACGGTGTCCGGCCGGCCTAGTGCGGTGGCCGCCCCTTGCCAGGGGGTCGAGACTAGTCTCCCCAAAGAAGAGGAAGGGCCACCCCTTTAAAAGGGACCGAAAGCTCTCCCCGAAACGCAGACCTCCCCTTTAAAAGTGTCTCAAGTCCTCCGGCTAAAAGAGGCCACCCCTTTAAGGAATCCTGGGTCCTCAAAACAGCAGGCCGCCGCTTGAAAGGCTCGAGAGTTTGTTTCCAGTCCTCCACAAGCGGCCACTTCCCCTTTACGCTGAATTTAAAGGACTTTCTGGAGTAGGGAGGAAGAGGAGGTAAGAATCCTCACTCGCTCCAATTCTCCCAACAGCAGTTTTCAATTTGTCAGCTCCTGTTCGGCGGCTTCCCCTTTAAGGCTGGCGTTGTAGTCTGCCGAACTCAGTGGCCACCCCTTTAAGGAGATTTAAAGGGGCCTCCTCCAGTCCCAGCTCTTCCAGCCTCCGCCTCCAGTCGCCATGAAAGGCGCGAGGGGGGGGCGGGGCCGCGGGGGCCAGCCCTCCAAAGCCCCGGATGTGAGGCAACAGTGACGGGTAGAGCTTCTCTGTCTGCCGACATAAAAGTCTCTTCCTCCTTTCTTCGTCTCTGTATGACGCGCTCCTTAAGGGATCCGAAACAGCCGTTGGTCAGCGGGGGAGCTCCAGCGCACCCTCTTGCTGTCTCCCTTGGAGTCTTGGGCCTCTTCTCCGCCAGGACTTCCCTACCCCCCTCCCTCTTCCTCAGCCTACGCCTCCTTCCTCTCTCTGCCTCCTCCCACTCTTCGCCCCCTTCCCCTCACCCCTCCGCAGGCTTAGTCGTTGATTGGTGGAAAAGTGCACGTCAGGGAGGGGGCGGAGTCAAACTCGGGGAGTGGGTAATTTGTAACCGCCCTCAAGTTCCGGATTGGACGTACGTCAGATTAGTTCCGTCCTCCACCAAGTCTCGTGACTCGACTGGCTCGGAGTAGGTGCCTGGGCGGTCCTGCAGAGGGTCCCGCCTTTTCCCGGTCTCCGTTCATTGGCCCACCTTCTGACGGCGTCAAGGCCAGGAGTCCGGTGGTGCTGCGCGAGGCCTGGGGGCGGTTGGCCGCTGGGCGGCGCGGCTGCGGAAGCTCCCCGTCGGCCCCCAGTGGCGCCGTCTCCCTTTCCGCCGCGGGGCTGGGCCCACAGGCCGCCTGGCTGCGCGCGCACGCGCCGCGGCGCTGACGTCGGGCGGGCAGCTCGGCAGCGTTAGCTCCGCGGTGGAGCTGGTGGCGACCGGCGGACGCGCAGGGGGGAGGCCGCGTCGCCTGTCCTCTCGGTTCCGCGGGAAGGTGCGGGCCTGTGCTCTGCGCGCGGACGAAAAGAAACCCCTTGCTCCGCTGGGCCGGGCACTTCCTCACGTATCGACTCGCTGGGTAGTAAGAATTTTTGTAGGAAGATACTCCTACGAGCCCCATTTTACAGAGGGATGGGGACCGGCCACCAATACTTAGTTCCCAGCCGGGATTTGTACTCGGCCTAGCCAGGGTCTCTAGCCTGTGCTCTTAGCCGCCGCCGTTTTGCCTCTAGCTGGCCGGTCACTCTGTGTGTAGACACGGCACTGACCCACTCCACTTGCTTACCCTCTTACAAAATGGGCTCAAACCCCCTCACGGGTTACTGCACATCAAGCACCGCTGACAGTTTGCTGTCGGTGCTGCCTGCATGTTAAGAGGAATTCGGGGCCATCTCGATCCAGGCCTCGGTCCCCTCTGGGACTTGCAGTGTCCTCTTTGCTTGTAAGTGAATTGGAACAGCCCTGACCAGGGCCCCTGATCTGTCTTCTGGAGCAGGTTCAGAAGTGTTCCTCCACACAGGAATACACGCCAGGAAATCAAGCATCTCCAGCGACCGTTCCCCACCCCCTCCCGGTGTCTAACCCTCATTGCCTTCCCTGACACCTTCCCCATTTCCCAGTCTGAGAGCCGAAGTAGTGCCAATCATGCCAATAGTCCCAATCAATTTCAAACTCAACTTGGAACATACAAAGCAATCAGAAACATACCAAAAACTTTACTAGAAATACAGAGAAAAAAAAATAAAATGGTCTCAGAGGCTTCCCTTCCCTCCAGGATGGATGTACAGATAAACAGATGGAGCTCCTAGGTCAGATGGGGCGGCTCCCTAATCCACTTCCTCCTCTTCCAGGAGCAAGGCATCCAGCTCCTCCAGCCGCTGCTGCAGCAGGGGTCCCACATCTGGGCCGGGGGCCAAGCTGGGAGCAAGGGTCCTGCCAGCAGCAGCTCGGACCCCACGAGACGGCCGCCGGGATCGAGGAAGGCTGCTGTCCCGAAACTCCATAGCCCGCCGCAGCTTCCTCGAGCTGGTCAATATCAGAGTCCCATTGCGCACCCGGGGTTCCTCAAAGATGGTCTCAAATGTCCTGGACCAGGCAGGGAGAGGTGCTGGTTACCAGCACGCCTCTGGTTGGAGCCTTCCCTCTATCACCCCCAAGCCTTCACCGTTTCTCACCTCCTGGTTGTAGGTGACTGATAATTCTTGTTGGTGTAAATTTCTTCCAAGCTGAACTCCTTCTTGTTCAACCTGGGAGCAAAGAGCAGAGGCCACTGAAAAACCTGGGACCAGTGGCGCCTGGAGAAGGGAGAAGCAGGGCCTGGTCTGTATTTCAGTTTCCGGGACATGTCAGATGCCAGGAGAACTGCCTGAGGCAGACAGATAGTTCTAAGCACAAATCACCAGATTGGACTGTGCTCCCTGAGAGGAGACGAAGCCACACTTAAGGGAATGTGAGTCAACATCTGTTTGGCCAAGGCAGCTCCATATACAGTAAGCATTCACCTGATCGGTCGAGGCAGCCCCATTGGTGTAAGGTTTAGTTGAGGACGGGCCAGTGTCCTGCGTATTCTAAATCGAGAAACCTTTCCCATGGTCTGCAAAAACGGGGCAGAGGGTAAGAGTGCAGTATGGGCACAGGCTCCCACTTGGCTCCTCCCCCTCATCTGTACACCTACCTTGGTCTTGGGGTCGGAAAGCACTTGGTCCTCTGAGGCCCGTGGCTCCTTGCCCTTGGTCGAGCCCAACCTACAGAGAAGATGAAGGCTCAGGGACAAAAAATATTCATAGCACATCCCCATCTCCTGCCCATGGGACACCAGGGCAGGAGGCTAGGCCCAGGCGGGGGCCAGGGATTGAAGGGCTTATTGAGAGCACTACCTGGGTTCTGCAGGTTCAGAGAAGGAGGAAGTGGATGCAGAGGACGAACAAGATGTGCCGAGGGGAGGAGAGCCTCCCACTCCTCCAAGAGGGAAGACCTCTTTCCGGAGACAGGGTCGAGGGGGTGGCGGGGCTCCAGCCATCTCCCCACCACCCACAGTGTGCCGTCGAGGCCGTGGCCGGCTTGGGTGGTGTGGAGCAGGGGGCCAGCTGCAGGTATCTGAGCCAGGAGGCCCCAGGTCAGGGCAGGAGTGGCTTCGGCCCAGAGATGGCTTAGGAGGAGATGCTGGGGGGCTGTGGGCTTGGGCTCGCCACTGGCGGATAGGGGGGCGGGGACTGACAAAGGCAGTATCCTCAGCAGCCCTGGACTGCTCAGCCTCTGAGATGGCAATCTTCAACTCCAACTTCATGGGGGGTGAGGGGGGTGGGGGCTGTGGGGCTTTGATGGGTGTGAGGAAGATGTCTGCAAAGCTCTCTAGCTTGGAGCGGACAGAACGGAAGAGGGGAGCCAAGCCCCAGGGACTGAGGCGAGGGCGTAAAAGGCTGGACGGCGGTGGGGTCGATGGGGCTTCCAGAACCGGATCTGGGGCTGAGGAAAGGAGAGGGTCACAGGTGGGCATTCCTCAGCTGCAGGTGTCTAAACCCGTTCAGTAACTTCAGCCCCTCCCCAAACACTAAACTGCCCACAGAGGAAGCCTATTCCTAAAAAAACCCCTACATTTAGGAGTTGGACAACAGGCCTCTGAGGTCAAAATCCCTTCTTCACATACCAAGCCCTGCCCTGGGAGGGGGTGAAGCCCCTCTGAGAAGCTCAGCTAGGGTTTTCCAGAGCCCCACACCTCATCCCTGTCTCAGTCCTTACTTGCTGATGGGTTCTCCAGAGGGTCTGCAGGCAGGGCAGATGGCTGGAAGGGGGGTTCCAGGTCCCTGGACGGAGGCTTTGTCTGGTGAATCATCATCATGGACTCAGCTCTGGGGTGAAGGGGCAAGGTCAAGGCTGGGGAAGCTCCCAGATCCAGATCCCACCTTGCCAGCACCTCCCCTGTCCCTTAAGGCTACTGAAGGTGCTACATGGAACTACTGAACAAGAAAATGCTAATACCCTAGTTCTGGCTGCCTGAATAATGGTTGTTGTCTGGGTATCTTAATAATTCCTTCCCCAGCCCTCTCACCTTCTCGCTGGGACGATGAAGTTGGAAGTCTTGTCCGCCAAGTCCTGGATAGAAACATGGGATGTTGGTGGGGAGGCAGGGAAGCCTCCTTAGCTTCCCACATCCCAACTCTCAGCCTCCAGATGTCTGCCTGGGTTACACTAAAGACTTTTTCATTTGGTCTTTGCTCAAGCAGTATGTTCCACCTAAAATGCTGTCTTCTTTTCTCTGAGCAAAATCTACCCCCAACTCAACTCTCCTGTCTTCTACCCTCACTGGAGTGCCTGCCCCAGCTGCACCCCTGACATCCTTACCGGAAGTACGTTCCCATACCTCAGCTGGGGGTCTGGGACCGACAATGTCTTCTAGCATCACCACCAAAGTAGGCTGGGGTGCCCGGTCCACCTCTTGTGAAGGGTCTTCTTCTGGGCCAGAGGTTGTCTTTGATGGACACCTCAGGGTGGGAGAAGGCCGGTTGATGCGGCTCAAGGGCTCTCGGCATAAGTGCAGTGGATAGGCAGGCCTAGAAAGGGACCACAAAGATCAGAGGGGTTCAGCTATGTTACCAGCTCACCCCTATCCTGCCTTGCTCACCTGGCCTGCGATGACCACATAGCCTGTTGGGGTGGCGAGGCAGGCAGCTGGTGGTGAACAGAATCCCAATGGTTGCTGCGGTGTGGTGGGGTGGAGGTCTCCTCTTGGGGCACCAGGGGGACCTAAGAGAGGAGGTGTCAAGAGCAAGGTGATGGCCCTAGCCAGTTGGCTCAGTGGATAAGAGCGTCCGCCTGCGGACCAAAGGGTCCTGGGTTTGATTTCGGTCAAGGGCACCTACCTTGGTTGTAGGCTCCTCCCCAGCCCAGGCCCTGGTTGGGGCTTGTGCAGGAGGCAACCAATCAATGTGTTTCACATCAATATGTCTCTCTCTTAAAAAAAAAAAAAAAAAAAAAAAAATCAATGGAAAAATATCCTCAGGTGAGGATTAAACACACACACACCAAGAGCAAGGTGATGGAATGAGGTTGAACTGGACAGGGCCTCCCTGTGCCTGGCAGTGTCCTATGCCACAAAGCTGACAGAGGTTGTGGCTAATATTCACTCAAGAGCTCCAAAGAGGTAAGTTAAACGGAATTGGGCCCAAATATCAGTGTTCTGAGCTGCTGGTGTGGGATCTAGGTAATCTCACCCAAGCTGTTTAAAGAAATGAAAAAAAGAGAGTGATCTTGGGCGAGTGACTGCCCTGTTTGGGACCTCAGTTTTCCTCTGTGCAGTGGAGCAAATGATCTCAGTCTGCTGCTAAGGTTTGCCTAGAAGTTGGGCTGGGAAGAAAGCAGGAGGGTTTATCACCCTTAGAGTTGTAGGGAGGTGGTTCCAGCCCAACGGGGTTGGCTGGTGGTGGGGAATGGGCACTGGAGACCCTGCCCATCTTGAGGTTGGAGTTAGAGAGCCAAGCACACTCTAGCATTAGGGAGGCTGCCTGAGCAATGAGTGTGAGAAAGAGGTGTTCGTGCCTCAATCCTCACTGGTGAGCTGGCCTGATTGTACTGAGAAGGGACCCGGGGGAGAAGGGAGCCTCCCCTTTCAAGGGGCTCACCATATGGGCAGCCATGACATCTTCCAGCACCACGGCTAGGACCCGCCGAGAGGCCTTTTCCAAGGGTGAAGGGACCACGGGGAGCTGTAGCCTTCGCCGTTTCGGGCTTCTGGCTCCCCATGATGTTCGAGTCAGGGGCTGGCGGCACAGGCGCGGCTGGCCAGGGGGGCTGCAGGACGAGAGAAGCGGAGGACAGCCGCTGAGCCTGTCGTTGGCTTCGTGGTCTCCCCTGTACGGTCACCAGGCTCCCCGTTTCCCGAGCTCAAGGCACGCTGGCAGGGTTCGCTCTCACCTGGAGTCCCCGGGCAAGTCCATGGGGGAAGCGGCGGCTCCGGGGAGTCCCTGGGGGATCCCAGGCTGCAGCCTGGGGTGGGAGGTGGGGAGCGGGGGAACGGGGAGTGAGGGCCAGCCCTTTCCCTGGGGCTCCGCCCTTCATGGTAGTAAGCAGTTCTCGGTAGCCGACGGGGCTGGAGACTTGGGGCGCGAAAAAGCGCCCCCAGTCGGCGGTCCGGAGCGTCCGTCTTCCCACTGCCGCCGCCGCCGCAGTCAAAGGATCACTGCTAGGCACTTGCCGCCAGAACCTGGATTGTAGCGGCCCCAGCTCTCCCACGGCGCGAGCCTCCTGGGGCCTTTGTCCCCGTAGATTCTGCCCCGAGAACGGCCCCCACCCCCATTCCACCTCGGCGTCAGCTGGGATCCTGTCCGGAGCGGCTGTTTCCACCCGATCCCCAGCCACAGCCAGCGAGTGGCCGAGGACTCCGAAGCAATATTCCCACACACCGACGCTTCCCCTCCCGCCAGATCCCTCCACTGGATCCGAGCGGAAGGAATCCCACAGCGCGTTTCCTCCAATCAGACGCCGCGGGAGGGTCCTCTCCCCGGGAGCTTCGGCTCAGCAAAGCTCCACTCCAGGACGGCCCGAACTTGAGCATCGCCAACTCTGTGAGGCTCCCCGGGGACCCGCTGTCCAGCAGATGCCCCTCCACTCCAATCCCGGAGGTCCCGCCCACAGACCCCCTCCCTCCCTCCTTCCTCCCCCTCCCCGGGTCCCCGCCCAGCTCTCTCCCCAGCCCCGGACCAGAGGGTTCAAAAGTTTCCTTCCCTCCCTCCTCCCGCCCTTTCTGCAGCCGCTCGGTGCCCTCCCCCGCTCACTGCTTACCGCCGCCTCCCGCCGAACCCGGGTCTTCGACGGCTCCCACCTGCGGCTCCTTTAAAACTAGCCTAACCCAGTGCCGCCCAATCGCCGAGGGCCTTCTTCGCGGAGCCCCGGGCAGTGCCCAATCGCCGGCCCGCGCCTTGCCGGGTGGTGAGAAACCCCGTGAAGCCACCTGAAAGCCATCATCTCCCGGGGTGCGCAGCCAAACGGGGCAGCGCGGCTTTTGTGTTCGAGGGCAGATCTCGTTGTTCTCGAGGAACCAGAGTGAGCCGCGTGGCGTCACCTTCTGAGGGCCAGGCGGTGGCGGAAGCCTATGCCAGGTTTCTTGAGACAGTGAGACAACCGTAGCGAAGCTAGCTGGCCGCCACGTTTTTTGAGGGCACCTTCCGGTCCTTTCGCTGTGAGGCCAATCAATGTGAACTGAGTGCGAACGATAGGTGAAATTCCCAGTTTCCTAGAGAGGCTCGTCGAGGCCGGTTTGGTCCCATCCTGGGTCCCTCAACCGGGTTCCCACGGCGCTGGGAAGAGGTTGGAGTAGGTGGTGAGGGCCGGAGACGAGGACGGGCGCCCCTTCCGGCTCCGTTGCTCGGCGGGGTCCTGGAGAGACCGAGCTGAGCCAAAGTGGGGCGGAGACTTGGGGCGCTGAGCTTAATTTACCCGAGTGTTGTGCACCTCTTCAGGAAAAGGGGTTTCTGCGGCCCGCGCAGAGGGCTCCGGACAGGGGCGTCATTGCAGGAGACCAGTGACCTATTCGGCGTGCGCTGAGGGGTCTGGCCTCTTTCCTCTAAGGACCAGGCTCCCGTGAGCCCTCTTTCAAAAGGGGCCCGGCCGAGGAGGCGTGCACATGGCTCTTAGTAAGGGACCAGGGAGGTAATCCCGCTGCTTGGAGAGGCTGCACCATAGAACCTTTATCCCGAGCGGGCCCGGTGATGGGGAGGAAGTGGGTAAGTCCTGGCCCTTGCATTGTGAAGGCGTTCTCGCCGCCTAACCAAAGCCAGTGCCTCCATTAGTTCTCCTTCCCAGGACTCCCTTGTCTAAACCAGTATATTTTTTAAAATCGGTTTTTTAAGAGAGAGAGAAACACCTATTCTGTTGTTGTTGTTCCCCTTAGTTTTGCATTCATTGGTTGCTCCTTGTATGTGCCCTAACCAGAGATCAAACTGCGAGGTTGATGTACGGGAAGGAGGCCCTCACCAACCGAGCTACCCGGCCTGATTTTCTTTATGCAAGAGAGCCTGAAGCCTACGCTCTCTTGCCCTGAGGTGCCTCCCCATCTCAGCAGGATTCTCTCTTATGGGATTAAATGATAAAAGTAATTGGACAAAAGATGACACAGAAAGAGCAGAATTAGCAAGAATTGGTATGGAAAGTGAAAGCTCTCCAACTCTATAATCAAGGACTCGTCGATAGGTCTTCCAGGACAATGGCGGCTCTCTAATGGCCTGCTGGGCCCTCTGGAATCCATTCTAAGGCTTCTGGTAGAAGTAGGCGGCAGCTCTTTCAGCTGGAAGTGTTCTCTCCCCCTGGATGGAGACTGGCTGCATAGTACCCGAGGATGTTCCTTGGCGGTCTGGTGGTGCTCGGAGATCCTTCTCTCTCACTTCATTGCTTAAACACATAGGTACTTCCCAGGCCCCAAGGCAAGAAAAGTTGCCAGGTCTGAGTTTTCATTCTCTAGATCTCCTGAAGAACTCAAGGGCAAAGGAGGTGGTCTTAAAGAAAGGGCCTGGGACCAAGTAAGCTGGTAGGTAGGGCACAGCCCTACAACCCTAACTGGGGTGCTGGAGTTCATCAAATTGAGGTCTAAAGTAGACTCTGGTGTCTTGGCTCCCAGCCCAGGCCCACAGTTACCAGCCTTCATAGCTTCAAGATCTTATTTGGGCCCTCTTTGTGACTACCATTTCAACAACTCCTATCTTACCCATCACCTGTGCACACACTCTACGGCAGTGGTTCGCACCTTGGCTGCACATTAGAATCACCTCGAGGCCCAGAAATCAGGATTTTAAAAAGATACCCAGGTGATTCTAATGTGCAGCCAAGGTTGAGAACCACTGCTCTACGGTGTGGCCAGAAGCCCCACACAGCCTCCAGCAAGCCAGGCGATGTGGCTGAATATTGGCTGTCGGCACTTCAGTGTATCATTCTTCAGAAACTCTGGGCCCCTTTAGACTGGGTTCCCACCTGCTTAACTGTTCCCTGGCTTCAGTATAATGAGAACAATAAACCCTGCCATGCCTTATCTCAAAATAGACTTGGAAGATCAAGATCAAGTGAGAAGACACATCTCAGTGTGCCTGATAAATAAGTTAAGTCTCAGGCTACAGGTAAAAAGAGGGTGATGAAAACCACCTATTCTTCCTCTCAGAGTGTCCTATGCCTTGTCCTCCCAAGCCAGCTGCTCTGCTAAGTACGTTTCTCTGCAGAAGCCTCTAGCCCAGTGGTTCTCAACCTTCTCAACCTTCCCTTTAAATACAGTTCCTCATGTTGTGACCCAACCATAAAATTATTTTTGTTGCTACTTCATAACTGTAATGTTGCTACTGTTATGAATCGTAATGTAAATATCTGATATGCAGGATGGCCTTAGGCGACCCTTGTGAAAGGGGTCTCGACCTACAGGTTGAGAACCGCTGCTCTAGCCTGATCTCCAGATCAGCTAGGGTGGGCTGGTTAGGATGTGGCTTTAGGGTGTTGAAATGAATTTGGGTTGCTGCTCTTGTTTGCATCAACCATGCAACAAAATGTCAATGCCTCCTATATGCTATGTCCTGGGGATAGATAAGTGCCTGTGATAACCAGAATGGTGAGCCAAGGTTCCCCCCCCCCCACCCCCCTGGGGTCGTGTCTCACCACTCCCAAGAATGAGCTCCATGGACCAGAAGATTTAAGCAAAAGTGGAAATTTTATTACCAGCAGATTCACACTCCCCACATGAGTAGGGGGTGGGCAATAATGGGCTGCCTGCCCTAACCGGTTTGGCTCAGTGGATAGAGCGTCAGTCTGCGAACTGAAGGGTCCCAGGTTCGGTTCCGGTCAGGGGCATGTACCTTGGTTGCGGGCACATCCCCAGTGGGGAGTGTGCAGGAGGCAGCTGATCGATGTTTCTCTCTCATCGATGTTTCTAGCTCTCTGTCCCTCTCCCTTCCTCTCTGTGAAAAATCAATAAAATATATTTAAAAAAATAATAATGGGCTGCCTGTTAAAGCCTTGTCTAGGGTATATATTTGCTACAAGTCTGTTCTATATCTACCCTTGTCGTCACCTAATTGATTCCCTCAATTGTTCTTGCCCAGCAATGGACCTGAACTTTCCCTGTTCTTTTTTTTTTTTTTTTTTTAAATATATTTTATTGATTTATTACAGAGAGGAAGGGAGAGAGATAGAGAGTTAGAAACATCGATGAGAGAGAAACATCGATCAGCTGCCTCCTGCACATCCCCCACTGGGGATATGCCCGCAACCCAGGTACATGCCCTTGACCGGAATCGAACCTGGGACCTTTCAGTCTGCAGGCCGACGCTCTATCCACTGAGCCAAACCGGTTTCGGCCCCTGTTCTTATAAGTCAGTTCACTTTATTGTTGCAGACCCTCCCTGGATTCCTGTGCCTCCCACTTTGAGTCCAGAAAAATGTTATTAGTTCTTCTTGGTTGGCTTTTGTGATTAGGCTGCTCACACTGCTGTCTCTGCCCCTGCCTATGTTTCACCTGCCTTTGTTTCCCACTGGACCCCTGCCCTGCGTGCCTGCATTTCAAGCTAACTTCTCTCACCTGTCCCTAAGAGTTTGGCGTTTATATCCCTACTAGGGGCCGGGTGAATGAAGATTCGTGCACGGAGGGGTGGGGAATCCCTCAGCCCAACCTGCACCCTCTCCAATCTGGAAGCCCTCAGGGGAGCCCTCTCCAATCCGGGAGTTTCTGTCTGTCTTTGCAATCATATGAGTGAATTGTCTGAGACCCCCCAACCCAGTTTGGTTTGTTGCTCACAGAATAATAGAGGCATTTTTTTTCCCTTTGCTTCATTGGTGGAGATTTCCTGGAAGTTTTAGGATATCTTCCCTTTAATTTTCCCTGGACACTCTTATGTCTCTCACCTTTGCTTTCCTCCATCCCCACCACAACAGTAACTTGCTCCAGGCTCACTTTGCTCTAGTGTCTAGGACAGGGATGGCGAACCTATGACATGCGTGTCAGAGGTGACACACGAACTCATTTTTTTGGTTGATTTTTCTTTGTTAAATGGCATTTAAATATATAAAATAAATATCAAAAATATAAATCTTTGTTTTACTATGGTTGCAAATATCAAAAAATTTCTATATGTGACATGGCACCAGAGTTAAGTTAGGGTTTTTCAAAATGCTGACACGCCAAGCTCAAAAGGTTCACCATCACTGCCCTAGGAGATCCATCTGCCACCAGAACTATGATTCCTAGTATTCCTGGTGCTCCCCATGCTCTGGGCTTCCACTTCCAGTCCTGGGGCTGCCATCAGAACTACTAGTCCCAGAATTCCTGGTGCTCCCCGCGTTGGGAGCTCCCAAGGGAGCCACCGCCCCCCAAGCCTCCGGCTCTCCTGCTCTGCTCTCTGCCTGGCGACCGAGGGAGCCACATTCCCCAAGGGAGTGACCAAAGGAGCCACGTCCCCCCAAGCTGCCGGCTCTCCCACTTCTCTCTGCCCAGCACCTGTGTATGCAAATTAACCCACCATCTTTGGCGGGTTAATTTGCATATTCACTCCTGGTTGGCTGGTGAGCGTAGCAAAGGGATGGTCAATTTACATGTTTCTCTTTTATTATATAGGATACTAGAGGCCTGATGCACAAAGATTCGTGCAAGAATAG